GTCACACTGGGGGGTTTTTCCTGCCGGGCTGCCCGTGGTATGTGGGGCACGGCAGGTGCAGGGGGTTGGCACCCTGCCATCCTGGATTCCCTGTTGGACACGCAGGCCGGGATCGCCTCCTGCTGCAGCTCTTCCTGAGGCCCTCTAGTGGTTTCCTGGCAGATGTTTGGGCTGTTGTATGCCGTTGGTATCGCCTTTTTCCATCCCTCCATCCATCCCTCTTTTCCCTCTTGTCTCCAGCCTGCAGAGATGAAATGAAGGAGATACCCAGAGGGCCAAAGGGGGTTAAATATAAATATAAATATAAATATAAATATAAATATAAATATAAATATAAATATAAATTCCTTGTTGAAGGAAGCCTGAGTGAGGAACCTGCTCCATTCTTTTTGTGGTAATTGTGTCCCTGCATCCGATAAAAATAAATGCGCAGGATTCCTGCCCATCTTCTGCCAGTTCTCTTATTACTTTCCTGTTCCCAGTGTTTGGAGGATGAGCTGGAGGAGCCCAAGGTGGTAGAGAAGGACACTCCTGGTTCAGATCCCTCTTGGTGGTTGCGTTGGTGCAGCTGAGCTGCTTCCAGTGTCACCTCGGGGTGGGGGGGGGTGGGTTGGAATTGGTGCATTTCAGCACCTCGATGCTGAGGGAGTAAAGCACACTGTGTTCACCCATCTGCTGTTTAAACTCCTTTCTGGCTTTCCCTTGTGTTCCACATTTCAATTCAGAATGCTGGGCCCCATCCTGAGGGGCTGAAATGCTCCTGAGCTGTGCCTGCTGCCTCTGAGGGTCCCACACCCGACATTCTGATAATTCCACTGGGCATCAAAGCCAGCCCTCAGTTAGAGACCAACCTGCCTCCTTCAAACTGCAGCCCACTGAGTAATGGTAAGGCAGGTTTTGTCAAGAAAACCCCAGTAAGGAGTGTACTGACCTCAGGCATTTCCTTGGGATCATACTCAGACCCTGGAGCAGCACAGGCAGCCACAGCTTGTACACACAGAGAACTCTCCAAACCCAATTCCTCCTGTGCTTTCCTCAAGCTCTTTCTGTATTCATGAGAAGAAAGAAAGGTTGGATTTCCCAACACCTGCATTGTTCCAGAGCTGTTGCAGGCCTCTTTCTGTAGCATTTGGTATGATCCAATAAGTATTTCACGGGCTGACGTTTATCTTTAAAAACAAATAACCCATAAAACAAACCCTCAGACCCAACAAACCTGTGGTTTGTGCTGCCACGATGAACAGGAACATTTGCACCTGACCCTCATTGCAGGTGGGTTCTGTTCAAAATTAGACTTTGTGGGGGGTTGGTTTTGGTCTCTGCCATGTGACATATGGACATGCAGTGGCCTTGTCTGGCGAGGGTTTGGCCCAGACTTTCTCCTTTTTTGTGCTTCCTGAATTGCTGACAGCTTCGTGTGGAACGTGGGAGTCGGACACCCACAGGTGGAGGGAGAATTCTGGACCAAAAACTGCCTGGATGGCAAAATGTGTGTCATGATTTTTTCCCTTCCTGGAGCTGAATCTCTTGAAAACTCAGCGGGATTAGGCAGAGCAACCCCAACATCCCCAGTGCAGGCAGGCAGAACGCTCAGCTGATTCCCTCCCTGACAGCCACAACAAACTGAAAGCTTTTCCTGTAGAATTCCTTCCTCTTGTCTAAACCAGTGGCCTGACCTGTTGTGAACTAATTAATAGGCCCAACTTTCTGTTCCATTGACTTGAGTGTGGCCAGCCCAGAGACAGATTTCTCTTCCTTCCAAAAAGCAGAGGCACATCCTAAATTCATCCTCTGCAGCAGAACGACTGCACCATTAGCTGTTAATTGTGTTTTAATTCAAGTGTGTTTGTCACCAGTGCTGGAAAAATCCAGGAGATGGGTTTTGGCCTTGCTGGGAGCCACAGATAGCCCTGAACTCCTCTCAGGGTGATATTTGAGACAGAAGTGGGGCCTTACAAGCTGCTGGCTGTGCCTGGAGGATGTGAGAACGCATTTCCTGCTGGTTTTCCCTCCTCTCCCGTACTGTGATGAGGACAGAGAGCTTGGCAGATCAAGCCCAGGTGATCAAACTGTCAGGCTGAGCCCTGCATGAAGGCAGTGCTTTAGAAATGAGGGTCACCTCAAGTTTTTAGTCAAGGCACTTTCTTAACTGCGTTTCCCACCAAGATCCTGGCTCCCAAATTTCCATCCCCCCCAACAAGCAGAGAAGTGGAGTTTGTCTCCTCAGCATGGCCCAGAGAGCAGGAGCTGCAGTTCATCTCAGTCTGTGCTCTGATATCATCTGGTTCCCTTTCCTCTGAAAGGTCAGATGTTTTTGCTGACGTTAAGTGTGTTATGAGGTCAGACAAACGAGTGCTCGTGAAATGCTTGTGCAGAAAGCTGCGTGCAGCAGATAATTCTCTGTGTGTTCATCTCCCTGTCAGATAAAGGCAGCTGTAGGATTTCCTGCTTTACTCATTGTTCTGGGGCACTGATGCTTGGCAGGCCTGGACAGAGGGGTCAGCAAACTCCAGATTAAGGGGTTGCTGTTGTGTTGTTCTGCTTGGGATTCATTTTTGTCTCCGGTGAGCTCTGGTGGGGGGGGGGGCTGTGGGTTCTCCAGCTGATCAGGAAAGTTTGGCATGGCATTACAGGAGGGAAGAGGGAAAACTTGGTGTATTTAGTGACCCCTGGTGAAGTAAAGGAGGGATTCATTACAGATCAGTCGGGTCTGGGGTTCAGACTCAGCCTGGTTTCTCACTCAGGAAGCAGGTGAAGTGCTTGCCAGCCCTCGCTCGTGCTTCCCTCCAGATGGTCTGTCCCTGGAATCCGTGTCTCCCAGACAGGGCTCGGTGCCGTGCCTTGGGATCCGATTGCACTTGGCCCCAGAAGGAGCACACTCAGTCTCCTGCTTCCCTGCCCTTGGAGGCTCCCAGAGTGCAGGTTCTGAGCTCCATCAGGGCTGGCACGTCACGAATCAGCTGCTGAATCAGGGGCTTGGAATTCGGGGATGGCTCTGCTGTCTGCTGACTGGAAAGGCTGGCCTTGGTTAGCTCAGGAAGGCTGGGAGGTGTTTGCTTTTTCTCCCACCTGACCAGCAGAGCATCAGGAGGGGTTCTGCCTCGGTTTCCATCTGCTTTCTGCCCTGTTGTGGATTTTAGGGTGCAGTCCTCAAAGTGCTCCTCGCCTTGGAGGGGAAATCAGTGCTGTGATGCAAAGCTGACTCAATTGCTTGTCGATGGTTTGACAGAATTCTGGTGCATGTGGGGCAGGATACAGGTGAGGACTGTCTGATTTCTGCCTTCTCTGATTGGAGTCAAAGGCAAATCCTGCTGAACCCCAGAGCTGTGGAGCAGACAGTGCCCAGAGAGCCTGCTTGGCAACTGGGCACATCAATTCCTGGCAAGACCCCCTTTTTGAGGGGGTTTATCCTCTCCCAGGCTGGGAAGTGAACCCTTCTGTGTCAGGATGGGCCCTGCAAAGCTGGGGCTGTAACTTTAATTGGAAGAGTTTAATCTGATTAGTTGGTGTTTGCAAAGAGCTTTAAGAATGAAAACTGCTGTGGAAGCGCTGACTGTTATGATCAGGATAGATATGATCTATCAGCAGTTTCATGGATGAGTAAGACTCTTTTTTTTTTTTTTTTTTTCCTCCCTTTTGAGGGAGCTGCCTCCTGGAGAGCAGAGGAAAAATATTGAGGAAAAAAGAGGCGAAAATGGGTGTCCTGTTGTCATATTGGTGTCACCCCCCCTGTTGAGCAGGAGGTTCAGTGGGTCGCACTTCCAGCAGCAACTTAAATACCTTGAATCTGCTTTCCCAACCATGTCAAGAAGACCTGGGAGAAGTGTTGAAAATGAGGGTTTCCACAAACACACCACTTTGGCACCTGAGTGCTTTGGCCACTTCAGGAGTTGCCACTGCAGGTTAAGGGGGATGTGGGGAGGTTGTTTCTTGGTTTTCTCACTTTGGGGATGGGTGGTGGTGGTAGGGGAGTAGCTGGTGTTGTTCCAGTGTTTGGTGTACAAAGTGCAGGCTCAGAAAACCGAAGAGAATCACATGTTTTATGGGAAGCAAAATCCTCCTGGGAGGAGCAGGCAGAGTTCATGATTAATCTGCAGAACGTGCATGCACGCCATGGATCAGGGAAGGGGACCTGCTTCCTTCAGGCTTCTTCCACCATCAGAAGAAACATTTACAGCTTACAGGTTGTGGGATCTGAAAAAGAGATTTCTACCAACACAAAGAGACCCGGCCTTGAGCTGCCTGGCAGGTGCTGTCAGATGATGTTGCTCTGTAAAATGGTGTTTCCGTCCTGAACAGGGTTTTTTAACTGTCTCTTGCTATCAGGAACAGTCTTCAGAGGCCGTGCCTTGCTTTGGCTGCTGTCAGGTGTTCAGATTAAAAAAAAAAAATAAAGTACTAGAGTGCAGTTTATAGAGTGGCTTCAACCTTCAGAGCTTTCAGGGAGTTCTGGAGGGGAGTGGAACGCAGGAACCCTCCATTTCCCATGTGGAAACCAGGGCAGAATGGAGAGAAAAACTGGTTTGGTGACTCGTGTGCTTAGCTGGTGGCTGAGAAAAGCCAGGTCCAGCTCCCAGTTTTCCCGTGGGCTTCTGGGGTGTCCCATCTGTGAGTGACCCAGGACAGGAGCTGCCAGGGCTGACTCTGGTCCCTCTGGCTTTGTGGAGAGCTGGGCCTTGACATGTGCATTTCCCCAGAGCTGTCTGGGAGACCAGGCTCGCTGAAAGCCATCTCAGCACCTCGGTAGTCATTCCCAAACCCATTAAGTGCCGGAAGAGTGAGTGGAGATAGGGAGATGGCAGATAATGGCAGCGGGGAGAGGTGAGGGCAGTCAGCAAGTCAGTGCTGAGCCTGAATAAATATCTGTGCTCCTGATCTAATCCACAGCCATCTCTCCTGTCTCCTGGCTGCTCTGATCAAACCCTCCATCGCGCTGTGGGCCGGGAGCCCGTTGTCACCTCTGTGTGCTGAGCGTGGTGTCTCTTGTTTTCCCGGCGCAGGTTGGTGTGAAGTCCCCTCTGCTGCTGCCCGAGTGTGTTCCTCTGCAGCGTCACCAGCGTGTGGAGCCCGCCCCACACACCCCTCCCCTGCCAAACCACGGCCTTTACCTGCGTGTTCCGGTGTTTCCCGTGCGACCCGTCCTGCGGGAGCGCCTCCTGGGCCACCCCAGAGTTCACCCAGCGCTCCGTGGCTCCAATGGTGAAGATGACGAGGTCCAAGACTTTCCAGGCGTATCTGCCTTCGTGCCACAGGACCTACAGCTGCATCCACTGCAGGGCCCACCTGGCCAACCACGATGAGCTCATCTCCAAGGTACGTTCCCCACCTCACCCGGGGCTGTGTCGTTGTCGTCGTGGGCTCAGCTGCCGTGGGAGGGCCTGGCCTTACCCAGTGCCTCCCTTTGCACTTGGAAAATGGGCCCTGGGCCCAAAGGATCTGTTTGAGAGCTGCTGTTCTGGTTTTAAGGGATTGTGGTCCTTGATATCCTCAGGAGAGGCAGGTGCCGAGCTCCTCACCCCGTGACTGTGACAGGACCTGAGGGAATGGCTGCAGCTCAGTCAGGGAGGTTGTTGGGTATCAGGAAACGGTTTTTCACCCAGAGAGTGGGTGGGCACTGGGACAGGCTCCCACAGGGACTGCCCTGTGTTGTGGTCACACCACCAAACCTGTCTGAGTTCAGGAAATGTTTGGACAACACCCTCAGGCACGGAATGGGAATCTTGGGGTGTGCTGTGCGGGGCCAGGAGTTGGATTTGATGATCCTGATGGGTCCCTTCCAGCTCAGCATATTCTATGATGCTATGACCTTGAAAACAGCAGAGGGGGACAGGATTCCAAAGCCAGCCCTCTGGAGTGCTTACAGGTGCTCTGACCCTTCCCGTGAGCCTCCTCCCTCTCATTTCCAGCTGTGAAACCTCACCAATGGTCAGGACTGTGGGAATCACCTTCCCAATACTTGTTGTCCATGGACACACCCACCAGCAGAGCCAGGGGGTTGTTGCATGGTCGTGGTTGGGAGGAGAAGCGCCTGGAAAAGTTGTCTGTGTTAAACTCAGAGCTGTGCCAAGGGGCAAGACTAAAGCCCCTGCTTGAGGGAAGGTTCTCTGATGCCTCTGTCAGAGTGTGGGATGGGTTCCAAAGGCTCCTGAGTTGGTGCTCAAACCCTCATATTTGGGAGTGAAAACACAAGGGATGGAGGGTGGGATGTGCTCTGAGCTGGGGAGGGTGGAAAGGTTCTGTCCTGTGTTCTCATCTGTTGGTCAGAGGGCGAAGGGTCTCGATGATAAGGTAAATTAAAAGCTTTCAGAGCCAGTAAATGAGGGGCCTTTGATGCAGAGGGAGCAGGGCAGTGAGGGGATCTGGTTCTGAAGTGTGAAAACTGAACTTGCCGGGAGTGTGTGTCGGAACCTGCAGGGCCTGGCTGCGCTCAGGACTCGGCTGCCTTAAAATAACCGTTCCGTGAAGTTTGTTCAGCTCACAAAATCTGTGCTCAGGAAAAAAACAGACACAGCAGAAGATTTATGAGCTGAGGGGACTGGAAATTGGTGCTGTGAGCTCTTGCCTTGAACGGAGATCGACAGGGATGGAGGTGCCGTGTCCGTGGGGGGAGTGTGCAGTGCTTCCCCTCTTCCTGCTGGCACAGAGAAGATTGCAAGGTGTCACCTTGCACCAAGGGCATCTGTCCTTGCAGGGTTGGCACCAGCAGCCCTGGAGATCCTGCTGGATTTCCGTGATGGGAGCTCAGAGCCGTCACCTCCCGTCGGAGTCTGTCTCCTTCCTTTTTTCTCCGGGCTGTTGCGTGGGCCAGGTTGGTGTGTTACCTCTGTGGCGTGTTCTCCCTGCCAGAAACCGGAATGGAAATGTTCTGGGATGAATAATGCTGATTGCAGTCTGGGGTTGTGCAGTTTCTGGGCAGACAGGATTCCCATTAGGACGTTACTCGGGGGCTCCTCCTGTCCTGGTCCAACTGCAGTGGTTCCCAGAGCTGTCCTTGAGGGACTGCAGAGCCTTCCAAGAGGAGGAGGTTGTGCATTTCCTCAGCAGGAAGGAGTTCTGAAACGTAAATGTAACCCACAGTCTGTGCCCTGGGGGGGAAACACCTTCAGCCGTTTTGGGGCAGCTCTGTGACTTCAGGCTCCTGTGCTCCCTGAGATGGGGCAGGAGAGCAGGGCAGTGACTCCCCTGCCTGCTCACTGGGAGGGTTGATCCCTGGATTTTGTGCTGGGACACAGAAGGTGCTTCGCTGGATGAAGAAGGAGCTTGTTTTCCTTGCTGCTTTTGCAGCAGATGAGAGTTTGTGCTCTGCTTTTTTTTTTCCTCTCGAGGTAGCTGGTCCCCAGCCAGGGAAAACACAAGGGCTGTGCATTCCCAGTGCTTTCACCTTCGGTGCTTCCTTCCTTCCCCTCCTTGTTCCATGCCCATGCTCCAGTGCAGCCAGCTTTGCAGGCTAAGGAGCTTCCAGCAGGGCAGTGCCAGTGCTGCCAACTCCTTGGAATTTTAGCTTGTATCCTGCAGAAACTGCCCAGGAATGCTGACTGCTAAAATACAGACATGGGGAAAGGAGGAGAGCACGGTATAAGGCTGTGTGTGAATTGTGGAAGTGTTAATTCCAGTGAGCTGCGGGGTCTGCTCCTTCTAAAAGTTCATTTAGACTGAGGTGTAAATTAATAGTTGAGGCCACAGTGCTGGTGGAGCACTAGCAAAGGGTTTGGGGGCTTAGAATTTATTTCTCAGGGCTGTAAATGTTAATAAGGCACATCTTTGTATAACTGAAAACCTCATAAAAGTAGCTGTGCAACCACGATTTGTACAAGGGGCTGTTTACCAGAACAGTCCCTGCCCCTGGGGGGGGCTTCCAAAATGCGTAGAAACTTTCCCAGGCAAACTTAAATAGTGTTTTTTAATCTGTTTGAGTTGGAAACATCTCCCTGAGGCCTCGTGCAGTTCTTTCATCCCAGCATCAAGAACCAGGCAGTGCAGTTGTTTTTCCCGAGAAAATGTGGCAAAGGGAAGGAAGGAATGAGCGCCGTGGGGACGGAAAAGGGAGTGGGAGACTCTGCAGACTGGAGCGTTTCTCAGCCTGTGGTGTTATCTCCTCCCAAACCTGACTGTCACTTGAATCAAAACAGCCCAAATGGCACCATCCTTGGAAATGTTCCCCAGAAAACAGGCTTTTATGTAACAGCAGGGTGGAGGGGGGGGGGTTGGCTCCATGGAATTAATTCCTCGGTTCCCTGTGCTCCGAGTGGTGCAGAGCCCACGGGAGAGCTGGGCTGCTCCTCCTGCCCTCAGCCCCTCTGGGTACGCCCAGCCTGCAGCCCTGGCTCATGCCCTTGGCTGAAACACGAGCTGGAGCTGAATCCCAGGATTGTTCCCTGTCAATCCATGCTTTTATTTCCTCTCCACCTCCCGAGTTTCCCCTCTTGGCCCTTCAGCACCAGCGTTAACTTACTGTGACTTCAGAGCGTTTTGCCAGCCCTGGGTACCTGAAACTCTTTGACAAATCCACCTTGGCAGGGCAGTTTTTGCTTGCTTTTCCTACCTAAGGAAAACCTCGTGCCTTAAAAGGGGTAGAAGGTTCCTCAATAAGCCACTGCTATTTAAAGAAAGTAATCAATGCTGAGGCTTTTAAGAAAATCCAAAGCTGTTACGCGAAGCCTGGGTTACCAAAATGTTTCTTGCTCCGGCCTTTTATCTCCTGCAGCCCCAGGGAGAAAGTGGTTTAGTGGGTCTGCTCTGTAACAAGATCTAAATTGTGGGTTGGACCGTCTGGCCAAGAAGGGCCTCATTGACTCAGGAAGTAGGAAGGTGATCAGATAGATTGGGTGGAGTTGAGTAACTGCTTTTCCTTCGGCGGCTGGGTTAGCATGACTGGAGGTTCTTGTTCCCTTGGAGCAATGCATCATTTAAAAGGCCGTGCCAAATTTAGTACATGCTCTTGTTTCACTGATTTTTTTCCAGTGCCTGAGTGGGAACTCAAACAGATTTCCTGTGTGACCTCGAGTAAGTCACTGGGTGTCTTTGTTCCTCCTCTGCCCACCTGTACGGTTGGAGTGCTGCTGTTTTTGTCAGGTCTCCTTGGAAGATAAAGCTCTTGGAGCAGGTCCTGTCTGCTCTTCCAAACTGGTACAGTGTGTCCCAATCCTCCTCTGTGGATTTGCTGTAAAAACAAAAGCACTGTGCCAGAAAAGCTGTACTTAAAAAGCACGTTTCAGTGTCTTCCAGATTGCCAAAACTTAAGTGAAAGGCACTTCTTGTTACATCTCTCCTTCCCAGGCACAACATCCCATGGCTGGTAGAGTGTTTTAGGAAAAATATAAAATCCCACAATCAGTGGTGGCAAAACCTCTCCAGAAAGCAGACAAAGGGGCTTTTCTTGAGAAATGTGCCTTCTGCATCGTTTCCTAGCGGGGGCCTGGAGGAACAGTTAACAAAACCAGACATTCAGCAAGGTAAAGAGCACCTTTCTCCTCCCCGAAATGGCAGATGAGGTGCTGATTCCTACTTACTCTGTGTTATTCACCCTCGGTCAGCCCTTTTCTCTGGTTTTGTTCCATATGTGCTTGGTGCCCAGGGAAAAAAAAAAGGTTGGGAACAGAGAGAGCAGAAAGATGCAGGCCAGAATTGCCACATGGGGGTCTTGGTCGCTGATTTTTCTTCTGCCATGTGAACTGTAATTCAGCAGAAACCTCCCTGATTATGGAAATATGTAGAGAATGTCTTGTGGGCGTCCTGCAGTTTCTTTTTTTTTTTTTTTTTCCCCCTTGCATTTCTGTGATCCAACTGCTAAACATTCTGCAGTGATGTCTCCTCTGGAGCTGCCTGAGGCTGGTGAGGAGGTTTGAGTGTTTCCCTTTGATGTCTGCACGGAGCCTCTGCTGAACGTGGATGTGAAATTCCTCAACACAAAGGGCTGCAGCTCCTCCAGCACTGAGAATTTAGGAAAAATACAGCGCTCCTGTGTGCCTGACTGTCTCAAATGGGGTTGGATTGTTAATGAGGGAGCACTTAAAGCTCTTTTTTTTTTTTTTTTTCTGATCTACTCAGTCAGGAGTTAAAAGGTTTTATCAGCAAAACTCACTCCCAGTCTTTGTGGCCTGGTTCCTTCCCAGCCTGGGGGTGCTGGTCCTACAGCCCCTCAGTGAGATTTGTGGCACTCTGAAAACATCAGGCTTTGCCCCATGTTGCAACCTGGGGGCTCTTTATAAAGGATCTGGAATTTTGGTGCAGCGTCCTGATAAGCTGTGGATGAATTCAGGAATTCAGCCACCTGGAAGCACTCGAGGCACCACGTGGAGGTGAAGTGGAGCAGC